CAAAGAGGCACAACTCTCCGAATTTCAAAAGTCAGATTTTCCTGAATAAAGTTCGTTGGCATTTTTCAGACGCAATCTCAGTTTTTTTGGATATCGCGTGCAACTTTGTCAAACATCTCTGACAAAGTTGAAAACGCGTAAATCTTACTGTTCTAATTACACAAAAGTTGCTGATAAGAGTAAAGGCATAGCACCACCACTTGCTATTAGGAAATATCTATATATGTTGATCTCCGTTCTCCATAACAAGGCAGACCTGCAAGAATACCTAACTCTTCCTCATCTCCGAGAATGCATCTTCAACAAAGCATCTCGAAATACTCAGTTTTCTTCCTCTCCGAGAATATCTCTTCAAAACAAGTCACACCAGAGCAAGATTATCTCATATCTTCAGGGACAAGAGCAAGACTATCTCATATCATGCAATTTCCCTATCCTTTCCTTTGTCCTTGTTCTTACCTGCAAAAATAAGGATAAAGAAAGCAATATGTTGGAACCTCCACTCAAACTTCTAGTCAGGAACCGACTGCCTGGAACCTTTGCCTGGTTGCTTACCTTGCATTGCCCTCGATTACTCATCTTTAGGGCAAGGGTTGCATTTCACTCCTGCATCAGTGGACAAATACTACAATAGAAGATGCCACACAAGCATGGGGGAAAACCAGGGAAAATACCACTTATGAAAGGGGAGCAAGTAAGGCAAGTGAAAATAATAAATTGAAACATGTGGAGACAAGCACAACAAAACACGTGCCGATTTATCCCAACGAAGCCGAAGATCACTTGTTACGTGGGGCTGCTCATAGTTCCATTTCATTCAAGAGTAAGTCTTAAAGCCCTTGAAGGAATCACATGTCCGATTCAAGATCAATTGTCCACCACCCTTGAATCAAATTCCGCTCCAGATAAAAGGAGTAAATTCAGACTTTTGAAACAAGTCTAGCAGAAGGTCCTCCAGCCCAGTTCAAGAACAAGCATGTGGAAAGTTAACAACAAGTAAAACACCTCTTTCAGCAACTCTTCTCGCTAAGAGATTGAAGCATAATGATCAACGATCAGCCTAAATGATTTGAAATCAGAGGGAGATACTCATCAGGGGGAGCATCCAAGATAGAACAAGATTTTAACAAGACAATCGAAGACTTGTGGCCATCCAAGGGGGAGTGTTGTAAATATGGTGGATGTCCACACTTGCCACTAATCCACTAAGCTACAAGTGGGAATAATGTTTGCCAAAACTTGCCTCATACGATTCTCATTTTCTATAAATACAATCCCACACAACATAAAAAAAGGTGGTGAGGTTCACGGGAGAGAAAGGAAGGAAGAGAAAGAAAGAAAAGAGAGGAAGGAAGAGGAAGAGAGAAAAAAGAGGAAGAGGAGAGGAGATAATAGAAAGAGTTATTTTTTTACTCCTATTATTCCAAATTATAATGAAAGCACCACTGCTGCCCCCGATGACGTACTCCAGTCACATTGACTATAGAGGAACCTCGTAAATTTTGTGTCTTATTTATTTATTACACTGCACACACCGTCGATTTTACAACAATTACTGGATTCAACATTTTTTTATTTTTGGGTTGAATTAGACATATTCATATAATTTTGAAGATATTGTTTTTTCTTTTTGGCAAACGGTATATTTTATGCTAAATTGGTCTAAGGAAATGAAGATTCAAATTTAGGTGTAGAAAGCCTAGCAAATTGCTATACTTAACTTGACTGAGCAAATATCTGCTAATTTTGAGAAGATGTTCACACAAAAAGTGGGGCATTTAGTTGATCAGAAGCAAACATTCTTAAAATTAAGCGTTAGATGTGCTGCTTGACGAGAGTGTAAGTACTGGTTTAGTACTGATGTGCTTTTATAAAAAATGGGTATAAAAAAAAGCTGAGCTCAAAAAGGTGTTTGGTAAACACTTAAAAACAACTTATTTTCACAGTTTTGGGTGAAAAAAAAAACTGAAAATGTGAAGTAGCAAAAATGAGCTTATTCTCACAGCATAGCAGAAGCAGTTTTTTTTCAAAGCACATCAATACCAAACCAGCCCTAACTTAGCAGGATTGTCTTCTCCGAGCTTGTAAGACTTATCATTCTGTAAATTTTAGTGGAAGGTGATTCTAAATTTGTTATTCACTACATTCAATATTATCACTACTACAAAAGGACCCTATAGTGTCAGTTGTTGCGTCGGTTTAATATCATATAGTGGCGCACAAGAGAGTTGCGACACCCACTGAATATGACGTCGGATTTAGAAAGTCTGCGTCGCTTCTATATGCGACACGCATACTTAATGTCGCTTATAACCGACACACGTTTTAATAATTTTAAATACTGGCGTCGCTTTTAATAAAACAGTGTCGCTTTTAAGCGACATTAAGTATGCGTGTCGCATATAGAAGCGACACTAATTGATTTTTTTATATATTTTAAATCCTACGTCGGTTCTGAGCGACATATATTTTATTTTTTTAAATATTTTGAAATCCAGTGTCGGTTGTAAGCGACAGATTGATCGTCTTTATATTCACTCACCCGTGTTCATCTTTTCCTCTTGCATTTATCTCATTCTCACGGTTCACAAACCTTCTCTCTCTCACCTTCCGAGTTCTTCCAAGTTCATTCTTCACATTCCGAGTTCTTCCAAGTTCATTCTTCACAAAGGTAAATTTTTCTTGCTTGTAGTATTTTTATTTTCTCCTCTTATGTTTAATATTTTGATACAATTTATTGTTGTAGGGAATTTATTTGAGCTGGTTGAGTATATAAAGAATTGATCGACGACGGAATTCTTCTATAATTCAGGTTTCTATCACTAAATTCTTTAATTTTTAAATTGTATAATACACAAGTTTATTTATTTAAAAATTGTAATTTAAGTAGTTAGATAAATTTCTATTATTTTTGTTAAATTACTTCATATTTAGGCGAAATAATTAATTTTGTCACTTGAATTGTTATGAGAAAATAGAATGAATATTATCTATAAGCATTTATGTTAAATTAACAACATTAAATATAACTTAAACTTATAATATTGAGTAATTTAAGAATATATTATGTTAAATTAATTTTTTTTTCACTCTAATTGTTATTTTAATTTGTTGTTATTTTGATAATTTTTTGTTGTTATTTACTAGAATGGATTAGATGAGAATAATTTGAATTGTTATGAGAAAATGGAATGAATATTATTTATATGCATTTATGTTAAATTAACAATATTAAATATAACATAAACTTATAATATTGAGTAATGTAAGAATATATTATGTTAAATTAATTTTGTTCGCACTTTAATTGTTACTTTAATTTGTTGTTATTTTGATAATTTTTTGTTGTTATTTACTAGAATGGATTAGATGAGAATAATTTGAATTGTTATGAGAAAATGGAATGAATAATAATTATAAGCATTTATGTTAAATTAACAATCTTAAATATAACATAAAATTATAATATTTAGTTATATAAGAATATATTATATTAAATTAATTTTTTTTTGCAATTTGAATTGTTATGAGAAAATGGAATGAATAATATTTATAAGCATTTATGTTAAATTAACAATATTAAATATAACATAAACTTATAATATTTAGTAATGTAAAAATATATTATGTTAAATTAAATTTTTTTTTTTGCAATTTGAATGGTTATGAGAAAATGAAATGAATAATATTTATAAGCATGTATGTTAAATTAACAATATTAATATAACATAAACTTATCATTTTTAGTAATATAAGAATATATTATGTTAAATTAATTTTTTTTACAATTTGAATTGTTATGAGAAAATGGAATGAATAATTTAAATAAGCATTTATGTTAAATTAACAATATTAAATATAACTTTTGCACTATAATTGTTATTTTAATTTATTGTTATTTTGTTAACTTTTGGTTGTTATTTACTAGAATGGATTAGATGAGCATAATTTTGATAACTTTTTGTTGTTATTTTAATTTGTTTTTACTACAATAGGTGTTGAAAATTTAAAAGATTGCAATCGTGATCGTGATAGAGTTCGAGGGTTGAAAGATAGAAATTGAAAAATTCTAATAGTTATGCCTACATGATAGGGATTGCAAGATTGTAGGCATCTTAGTGTCAGCGTAATATTTTACCCTCGTAAACTGGTAAAACATGGACAAGAGTTGGTTGACGATACCTCGAAATTTTGAAGCGTATACAGCTGGAATTAATTTGTTTTTGGATCAAGCAGTTGCAAATGGTGTTGGTCCTGATAAGTTTAGATGTCCTTGCAAAAGATGTTGTAATCGATATACTTTTGTTAGGAACACTATTATTGAACATCTCATATTGTATGATATGGATAAAGATTATAAAAATGCTTGCTGGCGACATCATGGCGAGCAAAACATTGGAGAGCAAAATGTGGCAATTGGAAGAAGAAAACAGGAGATGAGGTGATTGGTATGCATGACTTTCTTAATGATGTATTTGTCCAACCATTAACAGAAGAAGGTGTTGGGCCGTCTACTGAACCGTCTATTGGGGAAGGGCGTCCAGAAGAGGCGGAGACTTTTTTTAGGTTGCTTGAAGAGGCAGATCAAGATTTGTGGCCAGGGTGTAAGGAGTTTAAGAAATTAGAAGCAGTTGTAAGGCTGTATCAGATCAAGTGTTTAGCGGGAATGCCAGACGACATCTTCACAACTTTACTGGAGTTAATTAAAAGAATGTTGCCTGAAGGGGATTGTTTGCCTGAATCATGTTATAAGGCAAAAAAAACTTATAAATGACTTGGGTCTGACGTATGTGAAAATTGATGCATGTCCCAATGATTGCATGATCTATTGGAAAGATACTTCGGATTTGACCGTGTGCTCGGTTTGTGGTGAATCAAGATATAAAGTTACCAACGCAGCGGATAGGTCGAGAAAAAAGATCGCAGCTAAGGTTATGTGGTATTTTCCTTTAAAACCAAGATTGCAACGATTTTTTATGTCGAAGCATACGGCTGAACATATGAGGTGGCATGCAATTGAATGTCCTAAAGATGAGTTTATGAGACATCCTTCAGATTCTCCAGCATGGAAGCATTTGGATAATTTATATCCGGATTTTGCGTCAGAAATTCGAAATGTTCGATTAGGGTTGGCCAGTGATGGATTTAATCCTTTTGGAAAAATGAGGAATGATCATAGCACATGGCCGGTGGTGCTTTCTGTTTACAATTTGCCGCCTTGGATGTGCATGAAGCAACCAAATTTGTTGTTGTCTCTTTTAATACCAGGACCGCGCAGTCCTGGTAAAGAGATTGATGTATACATGCGTCCACTGATTGACGAGTTGAATGAGTTGTGGGAGGTGGGCACTCCAACTTATGATGCGTATTCCAACCAAAGTTTTATGATGAAGGCTGTTGTCTTATGGACTATAAGTGATTTTCCGGCTTATGGAATGTTGTCAGGATGGAGTACACATGGCTATAAAGCATGTCCACATTGCATGCATGATAAAGAATCTATTTACTTGCCGGCGAGTCGTAAAATTTGTTATATGGGCCATCGACGGTTTCTTGAAGATAATCATAGGTTTCGAAGGCAAACCACAGCTTTTAATGGTCGTCGTGAGCATCGTAGTGCACCAAGGCAGTGGACTGGTTTACAATGTCTTGAAGAACTTTGTACATTGAGATTTACTTTTGGAAAACCAAAGAAAAATGCTTCAGTCGGGCAACGCAGAAAAAGAACTTCGAGCAGTACAAGTGGTAACAGTCAGTGGAAGAAGAAATCTATTTTTTATGAACTACCTTATTGGAGGCATCTGTTGATTAGACACAATCTTGATGTTATGCATATCGAGAAGAATATATGTGACAGTCTGGTGGGAACATTGCTAGGTATAGAAAAGTCTAAAGATGGATTGGCTGCACGTGCAGATCTTGAAGTCTTGAACATAAGACGCAGTCAACACCCACGTAGAGAAGGAAATAGAACATTTCTACCTCCAGCTTTGTTCACGTTGAAAAGAGAAGAAAAAAACTGCGTTTTGCAATGTGTTGTCTACTATTCGGGTCCCCGATGGATATTCATCAAATTTATCGCGATGTGTGCACGTGAATGAACGAAAAATACATGGGTTGAAAAGTCATGATTGCCATGTTTTAATGCAGCAGTTACTCCCGCTTGCAATACGCCCGGTTTTGCCTAAAGCTGTTACTATGGTATTATTAGAGTTGAGTGCAATTTTCAGACAGTTGTGTAGTAAGAAGGAGTCTGAGGAAGGATTCAAGGAACTGAGTTCAAGAATTGCCTTGACATTATGTCAACTTGAAAAAATATTTCCTCCTGCATTTTTTGATATAATGGTGCACCTTCCAATTCACTTGGCAGATGAAGCAGCTCTTGCAGGGCCTGTTCCCTATAGATGGATGTATCCAATTGAACGGTAATTAATAATTTTTTATAAATTTTTTACAATTGTAGTCATAACTTTAATTTATAATTATTACAATTGTAGTCATAACTTTAATTTATAATTATAGGTATTTACAAACGTTGAAGCGCAATGTTCGTAATAAAGGTCGTCCTGAAGGTTCTATGGCTGAAGCAAATTTGGTGGATGAGTGCTTGTCCTTCTGTTCCATGTATCTTAGAGGTGTCGAGTCTCGTCGTAACCGTAGAGGCCGAAATGAAGATGGTATTGGACGTGGAGTGTCTGGTGGGTTATCAATTTTTGACTCCAAAGGATGTTATATGGGTTCAGGAGAACATGTGGAGCTCGATCTAAATACTCTTGATCAGTGCCATAGATATATTCTAAATAATTGTGATGAAGTGAACCCATTTAGAAGGTAATAACGTTTAATCACACGTTTTAATGTTTTATTGATTTTCTTAACTTTGAAAAATTAATTATCTAAATTTCGACATAATTGTGTAGCCAACATGAGGAATTCTTGAAAACTAAACATCGTCGAGAAAGGTTAACTATGCGCCAAATTAAGGAGCTAAGCAAGAAAGAATTTCCAGAATGGTTCAAGCAACATGTGAGTTGATATAACAATCACATTATTTATTTATTGTTTTGCATTTTAATTATAACATGTTATAGTTATTCTGTCAATTTTTATCTTCATACTTATTACAGATGAATTCAAGCTATCATGCTAATGACACGTTGATATCTGAAGACTTGCATTGGCTAGCTAATTATCCTAGTAGGGTTGTGAGTAGATATAAAAGTCACATTGTTCATGGGTTTAGATTTCGTATAAAATCTGTGGATGATAAGCATAAGAATCAAAATTGTGGTGTCTTTGTACCTGCAAATGTTCCTGGAGCAATTGGGCAAGTGAATTGTTATGGCAGAGTTGTTGATATGTTCGAGGTTAAATTATTGTGGTCCTACTGAGGCGGAAGATAGGGTCGAGCTGTGATGTTATTTAAGTGCGAATGGGTTAATAGTGAAAGTCCACGAGGAATGAAGACCGATCAATATGGATTTACTATGGTGAATTTCAATCAATTGGGATTTAAAGAGGATCCTTTCATACTAGCATCACAAGCATTACAAGCATTCTATGTGGAGGACACAATTGAAAAAGATTGGTACGTAGTTGTTCGAACTCAGCCGAGGGATTTGTTTGACGTACTAGAGGATAGTGATGCTATTGATGATTATGCCATACCGAATTTGGATGATCGAATTCTTGATAATGAAAATTTTCATACAAGGGTTGGCGTGGAAGAGACTCCTTTTCTTGAATCATTAGCGCTGCCTACCGAGTTCGTTAATCATGCCAATGTCGACGATGAGCTAACAGATGATGAAGGAGAATAAATATGTTAATTATTTTATGTATTAATTATCTTATCTTTCATTTCGTATGTTATGATATCTTATTATCAAAATTATATTTCTGTTTTTTTTTTATTAAGTATTAAATATAAGTTAAACCTTTTATTTTTAATATTGGGTTATAATTTTTTTTTTTTTTTTTAGCTTGTTTCCTGTCGCTTTTAACCGACGTCGGTTTAATTAAAATATTTTGGGCGGCATTTTTCGCGGTTTTTTAATTCATTTGGCGTCGGTTTTAACCGACGCAATGAAAGCTTATTTCGACGCAATGTCATTTTAGCGTCGGTTTAAACCGACGCAAACTAAGATTATTTCGACGCAGACTGTCAGATTACGTCGGTTTGATCCGACGCAATATAAGCCTATTTCGACGCAATGTCAGTCTATTTCGACGCAAGTTAAAAACCTGTTGTGAATTATATGTATTAATGCGAAGAAAGGATGATTATTTATTCTTATTTAAAGTTCACGAAATTTTTTGAGCTGTTAATTACACTATTTTTCTTTTTATTTAACAATTTTATACTTCAAAAAACTTTAACAATTTTATACACTAGTGGATATCCCAAAATCTTGTGTTATACTTAATGAAAGTATGAATAAACTGTTTAAGAGTTAGTGAATGTATCGTTTTGATGGAATACGAACTCTACGAAACTAATTTCAACGATCGAACCGTCAAACATGTTTGTGTATACTTCGAGATCGCATACGCCAAAAATTAAAAAAAAAAAACTTTCTGAGACACAGTAACGGGAAAAACTTATTCGACGGTTATTAACGAAAAATCACGATGTAACGGTTATTTTAACTCCGATTTTGATGATTTTTTATATGTACACTCCTTCACCCTATATGAATACGGTGAATGAATGCGATCTTCAATTTGAAATATTTACACTAGTGGATATCCCAAAATCTTGTGTTATACTTAATGAAAGTATGAATAAACTGTTTAAGTGTTAGTGAATGTATCGTTTTGACGGAATACGAACTCTACGAAACTAATTTCAACGATCGAACCGTCAAACATGTTTGTGTATACTTCGAGATCGCATACGCCAAAAATTAAAAAAAAAAAACTTTCTGAGACACAGTAACGGGAAAAACTTATTCGACGGTTATTAACGAAAAATCACGATGTAACGGTTATTTTAACTCCGATTTTGATGATTTTTTATATGTACACTCCTTCACCCTATATGAATACGGTGAATGAATGCGATCTTCAATTTGAAATATTTACACTAGTGGATATCCCAAAATCTTGTGTTATACTTAATGAAAGTATGAATAAAGTGTTTAAGTGTTAGTGAATGTATCGTTTTGATGGAATACGAACTCTACGAAACTAATTTCAACGATCGAACCGTCAAACATGTTTGTGTATACTTCGAGATCGCATACGCCAAAAATTAAAAAAAAAAAACTTTCTGAGACACAGTAACGGGAAAAAACTTATTCGACGGTTATTAACGAAAAAATCACGATGTAACGGTTATTTTAACTCCGATTTTGATGATTTTTTATATGTACACTCCTTCACCCTATATGAATACGGTGAATGAATGCGATCTTCAATTTGAAATATTTACACTAGTGGATATCCCAAAATCTTGTGTTATACTTAATGAAAGTATGAATAAACTGTTTAAGTGTTAGTGAATGTATCGTTTTGATGGAATACGAACTCTACGAAACTAATTTCAACGATCGAACCGTCAAACATGTTTGTGTATACTTCGAGATCGCATACGCCAAAAATTAAAAAAAAAAACTTTCTGAGACACAGTAACGGGAAAAACTTATTCGACGGTTATTAACGAAAAATCACGATGTAACGGTTATTTTAACTCCGATTTTGATGATTTTTTATATGTACACTCCTTCACCCTATATGAATACGGTGAATGAATGCGATCTTCAATTTGAAATATTTACACTAGTGGATATCCCAAAATCTTGTGTTATACTTAATGAAAGTATGAATAAACTGTTTAAGTGTTAGTGAATGTATCGTTTTAATACAACAAATTATTTGCATAAGAAAAATTCATTTTAAACGAATAATGATAAGTTAAGATAGAATATTTGTGGTGAATTTAGAATATTTATCATAATTAAGATAGAATATTTGTGGTGAATTTAGAATATTTATCATAATATTTTATGAACTAGTTGGTCAATTATTTACAATAAAAATCAAAATTTTAAGGATATTATAAACCGAACAATGTTTGATCAAAAGTTTCAAAATTATAGATGTTTGATTAAAACAATTCAAATATAAGCCATCAATATCAAAATGTTCCTAAAATTATATTTGTGTTTTTATTAAGCATTATGTATAAGTTAAATTTTATATATTAAAATATTATAAGAAATAACCTTTTTTTATTTTAACTATTTTTTTTTTCTCCTGCGTTTCCATTTTTTCTTTTTTAGTTAAACTCTTTTTTTATTTTTTTGTTGGGCGGGAATTTTCCCGGTTTTTTTTTGCACGGGGAAATGGATCGGAAGAATTGGACGTGCGAAAGAACCGAAGCATCGAAATAATAAATAGTTGCGTCGAAATAATAAGTAGTGGCGTCGGTTTTAATCGACGTAAATACTTATTATTTCGACACAACCACTTATTATTTCGACGCCTTGTATTATACGTCGGTTTAAACCGACGCAACCAGTTATTGTTTCGACGCAGGCATTTATTTCTATGCCTCGGTTCTTTCGCACGTCCAATTCCGAGGACACTGCAATTAATGTCTGTCAGAATAACGTCGGTTAAAACCGACGTCATTGTTCTCTATTTCGACGCTAGTTAGAAATGTCAGACTATAACGTCGGTTTTAAGCGACGCAATATGCCCATATTTCGAAGCCTCGGTCACATTCGCACGTCCAATTCCGAGGCCACTGCAATTACTGTCTGTCAGAATAACGTCGGTTCAAATCGACGCAATTAGCCTCTATTTCGACGCTATTTAAATCTGTCAGACCTAACGTCGTTTTGAAGCGACTCAATGTTACCCTATTTCGACGCTAGTCAAAAATGTTGCAGAGGTGGTGTCGCTTTGAAGCGACGTAATAGTTGCATATTTCGACGCTAATTTTTTTGGCATATTTAAGGTTCTACGACCTATTTCCGTCTCTCTCATTTCACTCCCCATTTCACTCCCTTCACTCCCCATTTCACTCCCTTCACTCCCTTCACTCCCTTCACTCCTATTTCCGCACTTCTTCCTTTGGTTTTGCTATGGATAGTAGTTGTGATTCTCAACGTGATGAGGAACTTCATGTGGAAGGGGAGGAGGTCGAAGCTGGTTATTTTTCTACATTATTATTGGATTCGTTTTTTTTTTTTTTTTTTTTTTGTGTTTAATCTTCTATTATCCTTATAAACTGAAAGTTTACATCTGTTTCCAACTTTTTTGGTTTGTTTTAACTGTGGTTTTGTTATGAACAAGGAACTTCTCAACGGAGGCGAGGACCCTCAGTTCCCAAATGGACGAAACAGCTTTGTTCGTTTGATATGTCTGGAAAATGCGTTAGTGATAACTCTAGTGCATTTTCAAAATATGTGGCATCGGAGGTTAGAGACCACAGAATTCTCCCATTGGCGAAGCATTGGCGTAAGATTAAGGATGTAGATAAGGAAGCTTTTTGGAATAGAATTAAGGTATAGGTATTTATATTTTTATTAGAAAATGAAAGAATAATTCAATGATTGTTATAATATTTGACTTGGTTGATTTATTTTTTTTATTTTTTATTTTATGGATGTAGGGAAATATTGTTTTTGAAGATGCTGATATACCAAGATTGCCTTTGATCCGCTTTATGACGCTTAAGGTTGCTGAGCATGCACATAAGGAGTACAGAAATAAGTTAAAAAAAAAATATTATACCAACAGAGCTGCAGAGGAGCGTCCCCAGCCTCCTCCTGATGTGAATCCTACCCAGTGGGGTAATTTGTTGGCATACTGGAGTGGAGATAAAACAAAGGTAAACGATGTAGTTTATTTCGTTATATAACTATAAATTTGTGTAATAATTTTTTTATTTTTATTTTCAGGAGGTTGCTGAAAAAAAACAAGATTAATCGGCAAAAGAAAACAATGAACCATACTACTGGTACAAAATCTTTTGCAAGAAAGCGGCAAGAATATGTATGGATTGTACCATTTGAAGAAATGTTATTTTAAATATTCAATAGTTATAAAATTTTAATTTTAACGAGGTTAGCCTAAAATTGTTTGTGTGAAATTTTATTTTTGGTAAAGCGGAAGAAACATGGGAAAAGAAGCTGATCCTGTAACCTTTTTTCGTGAATGTCATACACGAAAAAATGAAGCTTGGATTGATGAAGAATCGGAGCGTACAGGGGTAATTTATTTTACTGTGTTGGTATTTCATTATTATTCAAATTTATTATCTATAGCTTATTGTTCTGTTTTACGATTGAATTTTTCTTTTTAAAAATTGTAATGCTAGGCAACAATGGAGAGCAATCTGCAAACTTTGATTCAGTCGGGGCAAGAGGATAATGAAGATCTTAGGACCCAAGTGTATGTTGACACAATGGGTCCTGAGAGGTATAATAGAGTCAGAGGATACGGTCATGGGGTGACTCCTGATATGGTTTCCTATGCATCTTCTTCGTCTTCTACATCAATTTCCTCCAAGAGGTCATCTAACAGTGCAATCGCATTGCTGATGACTCAAAATAATGAGTTGAAATTGAGGGACGAAAATAACAATAAACGGATTTCGGACCTAGAGAACAAGCAAAGTCAGTTGTTTGCGTGGCTTTTCCAAAGATTTCAGCCACAAGCACAACCACAACCACCGTTTAGCCCGGGAACCCAACAGTCAGGCCAGAGTCAGCCTCCTCCTCAACAGTCGGGTCAAAGTCAGCCGCCCCCTGCATATCCTTATGCTGGCTATAATCAGCAACCTCCGTATCCTATGTATCCGCTGCCTATGCAGCCCACGCCATACATGCAGCAGCCGCCTATGCCATACATGCAGCAGCCTCCCATGCCTTACATGCAGGAGCCGCCTTATCAAGTGCCAGTATATCGACCCGAGATGGCTGCGCCTTGTCCTGAATTTCCAGCTGGGGGGTTTGCTGAAATGCTTGCGGGTGTTGGATCTGATGTGGACTTGTCGAGGATGTTGGCATCAAATATAGGACCTCAAGGGCGAGAAGGATCTGTGCCACGTTCAGGCGCAGATTCGGTTCCGTAGTTTATTTGGTTCGCTTTTTTGTCGGTTAAATATGATACTTTAATCGTTCTATCTTTTTTGTTTTTTATGTTATGTTTGTAATGTCGGATTTAGTAGTTGTTATGACGGATGGGTTTTTGTATATTTTGACATTATTTTTATTGTTAATTATTTTCATTAATGTATGGACAATATTGTGTATGTTGGCAGACTTTTTTTTTAATTATTTTTATTAATGTTTTTTTTTTGACCTTGAAATTAATTAATATAATTATATAAAATTTTTCTGTTACAATGAATCGAAGAAGAATGCGATTTGTGTGTTTTTTTTATTATTATTAACAAAGGTGGTGTCGGTTAAGACCGTTATTCGGTTGCATATTTTATTTATTTAATTGTTATTTGGCGTCGGTTTATGGGATATTAAATTGATTTAATATTATTTCAGTGTCATTTAAAAGCGACAGTAGGAATTATATTTTACAATTAAATTGCTAATGAACGTTTCCTTAAAGCGACGTAACGTGTAAGTATGCGTCGCTTTAAACCGACGTTAGTTTAGTGTCGCTTTAAAGCGACGCTATGTAGTGTCGGTTTAAGCCACCAAACCGACGCTAAAGCCCTTTCGTGACGCTAGCAATAGTGTCGCTTTGAAAATGCGACATTACATTGTTTTATGTCGCATTTTTTCCAAAATTGCGACAGAAATCTGATTTCTTGTCGGTTTTGACTCCGACGGTGATAGCATATATTGTAGTAGTATGATTCAACATGTCAAATTTGTGGTTATTTACTTCTCCAACATTAGGATTTTTTTTCATATCTTTTAGGAAACAAATTTCTCTGCTCACACCTATGTTGCTTATTCAGCTCTGCATTTTGATCAATTGAATGAGGGATATCCTAAATGCTTCTTCTTGTAAATTCTTAGTTTTTTTAAGCCAAAAAAAGAAAGAAAGAAAGATTGGCATAAAACTTTAACACACTAATTAGTAGGAAAAACTGCATAATATCACCACAAACTTCTATGTTTGTGAACATAGACTAAATTTTTCCCTAATGACTATGTGGAGATTCACGTCTTGTGACAGTTTGGCACCTGCGTACAACTTCCTTGAATTTCATCTATTTTTTTGTGTCAAATAATGCTCACGTGAAATGCATGTGGCCCTTTTTAAGGTTGTTATTGTAATTCTACATGGATAAAAGATCCAATATTATTTAGTTTATCAACCTACATCCAAATTGGCACCAATGCGAATGTTTACGAGGTTGTTCTTGTTTGAGTGTGAGCATGATGAGATTCAGAGTTTAGATGCCAATTGTTTCCGAGTTCAATTTCACTAAGAATGTCTTATTAGAAGAGGAGTGCTAATCCTTATTGCTGCGAGGATTGTAATAGAACCTTAAACAGATGTCTTGTACTTTAAGGAAATATATTCAATTTCCTATATGAATTTAATAGGGAATCCTTATGTGGTTCAATAAGGATTGTATATCTATATATAGTGGTCTTTGCTCCATAGTACACGTTCTTTTCTAGACTAAAACATATTGTTCGCTTAAGCATTGAGATTTTGACAAATAAGAGAAGGATTACTGTGATTGTTTATGTGATTTTGCCATGGAAGAAAATGCTGATAATATCGGTGAAATATCGCCGATATTATCGGTTTTTCGCACAATGGATATTTAAATAGGTATCCGAATGGTTTTCGTCAAAATATCGCGATATTATAGATAATATCGCGATATTTTTTTGAACGGTGCAATCGGACTCCGAGCCGAACGTCGGAGAAGAACACTGGAGATGGTGTGCCTATTCCCGAGCCGATTTCGTCCCAAAAACCTTGCAAAAACACGATTTTTAACTTCAATTTCACATATAAACTTCAAATTTCACGCATGTAAGAGGTAATCAACGATTCAACATATGTGATGTCGGTTTAGGGTTTAGGGTTTCAATGGAATCTCACCTGAAACTTGTTTTCTTCGAGTCGAAGATGAACCAGATGACTGAGCCAACTCCTTGCTCAGCGGCACACCGCCACAGACAACTGTGCCAACTCCGACTTCGCTAGAGCCACGATCAATGGTGGCGACACCCAGAAAGCTGGTTTCTGAAAAGGAAGAGGGATTCGAGATTGTCGGACTGAGGAGCAGAAGGATCGAGAGAGTGGGAGAAGGATCGAGAGACCTTGGGTCTCTGTGCGTGTGTGTGAGAGAAGGATCGAGAGAGTGGGAGATCTGTGTGTGTGTGGGAGAATGGTGAAAGGGGAAAAGAGAGCTCAGGCCTCAGAGAAGAAGAGAGAAGGATCGAGAATTCGAGAGAGAGAGAGAGACGTATGTGTGTGAGATCTGTGTGCGTGTGTGATGGCATGTCTGAGAGAGTGGGAGATCTGTGTGTGTGTGGGAGAATGGAGAAGGGGGAGAAGAGAGCTCAAGCGCCTCAGAGAAGAAGAGAGAAGGATCGAGAATGAGAGAGAGAGAGAGAGACGTATGCATGTGAGATCTGTGTGCGTGTGTGATGGCATGTCTGTGTGTGTGTGCCTATGTGATCTGACTCACCTAACTAATTGTTCAATCACTTTTTACAATTTCAGACAATTTTCTACATATTTTCTACACTCACAATGTTTGTCAGCTCGCTATATAATCAACTTGATAATGTTAAATCCATCATGCAATGCATTTCTTTCCAATTTTTTGTGATAAACTAATAGATAATTGACTAAATAAACATCCTGCAAAGTTTCAATAAAAATTTCCAAGTTTTTCTTACAATTTCCGTGGTTTCCATGTAATTTTTATCAATATCGATATTATCCGATATTTCCATCGATATTTCCGTGTTTTCGTACTACCGATATTTTCGATATTACCGATATTTAAATCCTTGGATTTTGCTCATTCATGACTTCAACTAATGGGAGTTCTTCAAGTAAGTTTTCTATTTGTTTTTTGATTGACTATGGTTTATGACACTTGATTATCGAGAATGTCACATGATTATTTTTTTTTGGTAAAAATATAAATATAATTAGACGGATGCATAAAATTGACGCGTAAGTAAATAAATAATAGTAAATTTCTCTTGTCTAAGTGATAATTACGAGAACATAGAAAAATTTCAGATAATATTTGCACAATTTTCCCCGACTAACATTAGCTGTCTTCCTAATAAACAAAAATCGGAGAGAAAAGGAGAGAAAAATGGCATCCATGAAAGACAGGCAGGCCGACTTTAACGCCTATCCTCCTGTGTCCTAAAACACTACTAGGACATAATATTCTATCCATCTTATCGCTCTCAGACATTGCACAAATCACAACTCCACATATTATATTATTATTTTTAATCATCATGAGATGGTTTAATGGTTGATGATGAAATTTAAATTCATATTTTACACCACATGTCATAAATTTAATTTTTTTTATATTAATGAATTATACGATAATAGCAAAATAAAAAAAAATAACTTTATGAGTTTTTTCAACCTTAATATTTTAATTGCAATCATTCATTTTCGGATGTATCGTAGTAGGGAAGAAAAAAAATAATGAAAACAGCCAATAAACAGAGAGAAAGGAAAGGCGCATGTTTAGATGGACAAGACAAGAATAATAAGAAAGAGAGAGAGAGAAAGAGTGGCGGTTGCAACGGCCAGGCCAGGCCACCCTCCACCTCAACACATCTGGTTCCAAATTTTGCAAGTCAATGTGATCAATCATTCATTCCCTCCCCTTCCTTCCTTGCCACTTCTCTCTCTTCTTTCTCTTCCAAACACCCCAACTTTCTCTCCATTTTCTTTGGGAAAAAGAAAAAGAAAAAACCAAAAAAGGAAAAATACCCAGAAAAACCTGTGATTTGCCCACCTCGAATTCGCCTGCATCACCATCGTTTCCACCTCCAATTTTGTGTTTTTTTTTTCTGGGTGCCCAAACGGTGGTGCTTGCTGGGCAATGAGGTAGCTCCCAATTATCTATCTATTTCTTCAATTTTTTTTTATTAAATTAATTATATTTTGTTTGAATTTAGAGCTTTGAATTTTGAGGGTGATTTGGGAAAGTTGAAATTTGTTGCTACTTTGGAAGATGCAGCATAATATATTTACAACAATGCGTAGCTTGAAGATCATGGATGGGTGTAAGGGAACTCAAGTTTTCGCGCTTAATCCTTCCGGAGACACCGCCGCCGCCGGAAACGGCGGTGGTGCTGGGGGTGTGGGGGACAAGCTTCTTCACCATTTCCGGGTCAACTCTATTCGATCCAGATCGAGTCGGGGCAGTTTTCAGGCTCCGAACCCGACCGCCAACAATGTTTTGCTCGAGACTCTTCTTCCATATGGTCTTCCGGTGTCGGATCTACTCGAGCCCCAAATCGAACCTTCCCTCAAATCGGTCGATTTTGTCGAAACCCTAGCTGATGTGTACCGTAGGATTGAGATTTGCCCCCAATTCGAGAAGTGGAAGATGTATTTGGAGCAATGTGCGACATTTCGGGGTCTGTCGGATCCAAAACTGTTCCGGCGGAGCCTCAGGTCAGCGAGGCAACACGCGGTGGATGTGCACTCGAAGGTGGTGCTAGCGGCGTGGTTGAGGTATGAGAGGAGAGAGGATGAGCTTATTGGGTCGTCATCAATGGATTGTTGTGGTAGAAATGTTGAATGTCCGAAGGCTAGTTTGGTTTCCGGGTATGATCCCGAGTCTGTTTTTGAGTCTTGTATGTGTTCTAGGACGCTGCGGGGGGAGGAGGACGATGATGATCTTGTGATGGGGGATGAGGTATGTTCCACTTCCGAGGAGGATGGTGATATTTCATTTTGTATTGGAGATGCTGAGATTAGGTGTGTTAGATACAACATTGCCTCGCTTTCTAGGCCTTTCAATGCAATGTTGTATGGTAACTTCACGGAGACGCGAAGGGAGAAGATAAATTTCACACAGAATGGGATATCTGTGGAGGCAATGAGGGCAGTCGAGATTTTTAGCAGGATAAAAAGAGTAGATTCTTTTGAAGTGAGAACTGTTTTGGACCTGCTATCCTTTGCAAACAGGTTTTGTTGCGATGAGTTGAAGTCGGTGTGTGATTCTCATTTGGCATCTTTGGTTTGTGAACTGGAAGATGCAATGCTGCTGATTGACTATGGATTGGAGGAGACTGCTCATCTTCTAGTGGCAGCTTGTTTGCAGGTGTTTTTGAGGGAGCTACCGAGTTCATTGCATAATCCTCATATGATGAGATTATTTTGTACTTCAGAAGCTAGGCAAAGGTTGGCTATGTCTGGGCACTCTTCTTTTGTTTTGTATTATTTGTTGAGCCAGATTGCTATTGAGGAAGACATGAGATCGAACACAACAGTGATGCTTCTAGAGAGGCTGGCAGAGTGTGCCACCGAAATTTGGCAGAAGCAACTTGCATTTCACCTGTTAGGTGTTGTGATGCTTGAGAGGAAAGAATTTAAAGATGCTCAGTGGTGGTTTGAAGAAGCAGTAGAGGTTGGTCATATTTATTCCTTGGTGGGCATTGCGAGGGCCAAGTTCAAGCGTGGCCATAAGTATGCAGCTTACAAGCAAATGAACTCTCTCATTTCTGATTATACACCGGTTGGGTGGATGTATCAGGAGCGATCTCTGTATTGTATTGGAAAGGAAAAGATGATGGATTTGAGCACAGCAACTCACTTGGATCCAACTCTATCTTATCCATACAAGTATAGGGCTGTTTCTTTGTTGGAGGAGAACCAGTTTGAAGCAGCTATCACAGAGATTAATAAGATAATTAGTTTCAAGGTCTCTCCTGATTGTCTTGAATTGCGGGCTTGGTTTTCAATTGCCCTTGAAGATTTTGAAGGAGCTCTCAGAGATGTCCGGGCACTCTTGACTTTGGACCCAAATTACATGATGTTTCATGGGAAAATGCATGGTGACCATCTGGTAGAGCTGCTCCACCCTCTTGTTCAACAGTGGAGTCAGGCTGATTGTTGGATGCAACTGTATGATCGATGGTCCTCTGTTGATGATATTGGTTCTCTAGCTGTTGTACATCATATGTTGGCAAATGACCCTGGGAAGAGCCTTCTACACTTTAGGCAGTCTCTCCTTCTGTTGCGGTAAGTAGGAGAAAGCGGTACATTACTATACCAACTAGCCTATCTATAATTTGCTTGTGCATTTAATGAACTGCCTTTGTTCAAATCAGTAGTATTGTTTTTGTTTGAAGGGCGTAATCCAGAACATAACATCTTAAGTTCTTGACACGTAGAATTCGTCACTTTCAGCTCATTGGAATTGTATGTGCCTGACTGACTTATATTGCATGTTGGGCAGAACTCTAAACCTCGTTTGCTCCTAAGACGTATTATAGAGAAGGATGACACTCCACTTAGTCCAATTTCTATTGCTTTTTTGATGTCATTGATTGTTATATTAGTCTGTTTTAGTAGCATCTCTGATGTTCCTGAAAATCGTAGGTTAAATTGTCAAAAGGCTGCTATGCATAGTCTTCGGTTGGCTCGGAATCATTCTAGTTCTGAGCATGAGCGGCTTGTCTATGAAGGATGGATCTTGTATGACACTGGCCATCGTGAAGAAGCATTGGCAAAGGCAGAGGAGTCCATTGCTATCCAGAGATCATTTGAAGCATTTTTCCTTAAAGCATATGCTTTAGCAGACTCAAGTCTTGATTCTGAGTCTTCAACATACGTGATCCAGCTTCTAGAGGAAGCGCTTAGATGCCCTTCGGATGGTCTTAGAAAAGGACAAGTAAGTGTCATCCTTGGAAAAAAAAAATTCAATCTTGGTATCTAAACTTTCAAATTTATTCAGATTGGTATGTTATCATGCAGGCTCTAAATAATTTAGGAAGCGTCTATGTAGACTCTGATAAGCTGGATCTTGCTGCCGACTGCTATACAAATGCACTCAACATTAAGCATACGAGAGCACATCAGGGTCTAGCACGAGTATATCATCTTAAAAATCAACGCAAGGCTGCATATGATGAGATGACAAAGCTGATAGAGAAGGCTCGAAACAATGCATCAGCTTATGAAAAACGTTCAGAATACTGTGACCGCGATATGGCAAAGAGTGATCTAAGTATGGCAACACAACTAGATCCCCTGAGGACATATCCGTACAGATATAGGGCAGCAGGTATGTTGTGACTATGGTTCTTGTTTGTTTGGTGCATGCCACTTAAAGTGGAAGTTATTGTTTATGGATAAATCTTAGTGCTCAGAGATGAAATCCGTACTGTATCCATGGCGTTTATCATACTATTTAAATATACAGAGATGCCTGTCATTATATCCTTGGGCCTTAACTTAGTGTAGATATCCTATATGCCGATTGAATCACTTAGAAACTAGTATGTACTTATATAGGTATTCAAGCAGAAGGGGCTAGTGGTCCATTCTGCTCGTTGGAGCTTCAATTGCTATGAATTTGTCAGTTTAGAGGGCTTTATTGTTCTGTAGTAGGATTTGAATTGAACACTAATAGTTTATTTAGAAATCTGCATGCTGATGTATTTGCCAACTTGAAACTTGTTATTAACTTACCAAACTTACTATAAAAGAAGGATGTCGATGGTTTAATAAATAATAAACTAGAGGAAAAAAAAAACCTGACAACTGTAAGTTCTATAAAAAACACTTAAAAGAGCTCAATTGAGAAAAATAAAACCTCGTCTATCCACTTGTGACGTTCTTATGGATTCTTAGTTATGGAATTTCTTTGGTGCCGTTCTCCTTTTACAAAGGCAGCTGGGATTTTTGGTCTTTCTAAAGTTTTCGGTGAATAGTTTTTCTCTGAAGTGTATTGTTAACAAGGGCTTCTGAGTGAAACCTCGATAAAAGAAAAGAAGGGAAAAATAAAACCTATGAAACATTTTTTTATTTTCGGTTGGAAGGACCTAGGTTGTGTTCTGTTATATGCTTCATATGATTATGTTATCAAAGCTGTACAGTGTTAAAGCATGAATTTTTCTGAAAGAATGTATTTGTGAGTGTGTTTGAAAAAACTGTGAATTACTAACATGGGAATTATGGCCCTACAGTTTTGATGGATGACCACAAAGAAGGAGAAGCCATTGAAGAGCTAACAAAGGCCATAACTTTCAAGCCAGACCTGCAGCTGCTACATCTTCGAGCAGCATTCCACGAGTCAATGGGTGACTTTGTCTCCACGGTGCGAGACTGTGAAGCAGCCCTGTGTCTTGATCCCAACCATGCTGACACTCATGACCTCTATGCTAAAGCACGGGAACGTGTCAATGAACAACAGAAGTGAGAAAACCATAGAGAGATTATTCTTTACCGTCTGGGGGGGCAATCATGCTGCTGCTACCTGATTGGTTTAACATGGGAATGGCCAGCAATTGTCAGCATAGGCGATCCATTGGATTTTGTCTTTGGAAACGTACAATTGTAGATTCCCATGGCCTTCAAAAAGGGTACGAAAAGCGGAAGTAAGGAGAGAATTTGGATTCATAAAGGAGGAGAGTAGAGAGGAGCAAGATAGCATGTAAATATATCAACTGTTTATTGATTGGATCAACTTATTGAGTAGAGCAGAGACCTGCTGCTGCTGCTGTCTGATATACTACTCCAGCAAAGACGGGAGCAGAAGTAACCGAAGGCAAAAAAGTATCTTGTACATGATCATGTAAGCTTGTGATGTGTGTCTGTCCAATTTAGATGTGTCTACCCTTTGTTTTTGCCAAGTGGTTTGGGATGTGTTGTAATCTTGTCGTTCTGTTCTCTCATTTGTTGTATCAGCTTCACGGGTTTCATTAAGAACCGGCACAAAATTGATTTATTTCTAAAGAGGCTTATTGGTACCAAATTCAGAGCCAGTTCTGCATCTTCCTCTTCCCCTGACACTCTTTCCGCACTAACTTTTCTCTTAGTTTTTCGGGAAATACAGAGAGTTGGAATTGGTTACAAACTTTTAATCAAAGAATCAGATGGACGCTTAAGACGTGACTGAGAGTTCATTTGTTTAAGAATTTGTAACGGTTGTATTTGTGCGTATTCCCGATTTCTTAAGCGATTGACTTGAAACGAAACATCCCTACATGGACCTATGCTAACCACTATACATCGATGATCCCTCCAATTAAATCAAGGGGTCCCTTCCAAATTTCATACAGAAGGGTCTTTCTATCTGATCACCTGTGACCATTTTAAAGTGAAAATTACTGCTAAACGGACTGCATGAGATGTCCATAACTTTCCAACTGTCCTGCAATTATTTTCATTCAACTGCCTCTTACCATTTCCTTCCTTATCACTCACCTAAAGCTTTCAGCTCACTCCAAAATGTCCTAGGATGCTGAACTTCAATGCACCACTCCTCTCAACCCGCCGCCTTGGAAACTCCGGCGGTGAAGATTTACAAGGTGCATCGCTGCCAGCGAGCGAGCGGATTCCGTTTTCCTGGGAACGAGTCCCTGGCAAGCCCAAGGACTCGAATGCGGGTGACGATATCCAGCCTGGGGACACTCCTCGCCCAAAGCTTCCCCCAGGCTGGTGGCACCGGCCTCTTGACAAGGACAACGAGTGTGATCATGAACTCGATGATGGATGTGAGGGCGACATTGATGACGATGATGATCTACGTGACCTTGAGGATGATATCTACGATGTTGATTACAGCAACGAGGCCTTCTCGGATGCCATAGATGTGTTCTCACTCTCAGAGGCAATAGACATTGTGGAAAAGAAAGCACAGAGAGAACAAGAAACAGATCACAGCTTGAAGTTGAAGCTTGCAGAAGAATCAAGGCACGAGATGAATCAAAACTGTCCGAATTTCATAATCGAGCGGTTTCTTCCGGACGCAACTGCATTGGCTGCACCTTCTGCTCTGAAGCTAAACGTGTCACAGATGAGTTCAAGCAAGAGACTCTGCTACCCGTGGAATTATCCGGAGCCGGCGGAGGCCTGTGTTTCGAGAACGGTGTGCAGGCAGTCGTACTCGTCGCCCAAGGGTTGTGGCTTGCAAGGTTTCTTCCCTTGGCGGATGAAGCATAAGCTCTGTCGAGCGAAAAGCCCTGTCGATGCACAAGCTCAATGCAGTGTAAAACACAAGAAAAATAGATCATGAGCTTCATATTCATAGTACTTGATGTATAGTATAGATATGAAATTAGTTTCCTCCTTTGTTTTTTACTTTTTACTGCGGTTATTTCTCTCTGTCAAAAAGTTTTACATAGATTCTACCTATTGGGTTTGATGCTATGGATGGATTGGAGCTTACCAATATCAAATTTGCTTAAAACTTTAAGTTGGGAAGAAATTGAGAGTCGTCACATGTCAAAAGGATAAAAAAGATTGACTTTTAAAATGGAACAACTTTTTTTTTATTTTTTTTATACGGTATTATAGTCTGGTTTGAGTGCATTCACACTTGCCCCACACACATCTTAAGGTTGTCGAATTACCAACGTTGCAATGAGACTAGGGCAATTTTTATTGTTAATGAATTTCCAAAGTTTAGACAAAGCGTGTTTTTCTTAAGGTCATTAAATTATCAACGTCGTAATGACACTAATGCAATGTTCATGGTCATCAGATTTCAAAAGTGCATATACGTGCAGCTATAGTAATTCAATAACAAGTTGTATGCGTTATTGGATTACATTGTCTTTACCACGATTTTTAATTATTTCCTAAAATACATTTTCATTCAAATTCATAAATATATTCAGAGTTCGGTAATTTTCAAATTTACTTGAAAAAAAAAATGTTTTTGTGATATTTCTGAACTCACATGTAGGAGACTTTCAAATCCTAGGGTTTTCAAAGGCGGTGGACCCGGGTAGCTCGGGCAGGCAGTAGACCCCTGCCCGCTGGTTCTTATTTCAGAAATTTTAGGTGACCACTCCCTCCCGCTTCTTCCACCCATTCGAAATATATACAACGATTTATATATATCGCCGATTAATTCATCTTCCTCCTCCCTCTCTCTCTCCTCTCTGTGCTTTGCCTTCTCACGACGCAAACGTACAGAGTTAACCCGAAGTCCTCCTCGCTTCTCGCGCTACTTGTTTGTCGAGTAGGGTTTTAGAGCTGCTCGCCGCTGCTGCTACCGAATCGGCTTCTACTCGTGGTAATTTCTCGTTCTTCTAATCTCAATCTGTGGATTTCGGTTTACGTTTGTGCTGATAGATCTGATGATTTTGTTTATTTCTACTTGTTTTGGTCCCATGGGTTTTGAAATTGGTTCCAGTATTTGTTAGGGTTTTGATCTAGTCCGACGCGATTTCGTTTGGTTTTGGTCCTCAAGATCTTAATTTTCGTTTGGTTTTGGTGCTCAAGATCTTAATTTTTGTTGCTTGTTGGTTTTAATCGCACAGTGCATGTCAGGGATTGCGGGGGATTTGGGATTTTGAGGGTTTAAGCTCTTTGGGAGACATCCTGTTTTAGTTGAAGTACACGTTTTGTGCTCTGTACCAAAAAAGTACACGTTTATGGATTGTATGGTTGAAGAACAGGTTGATGGTTTTGGTTGTCATGCTGCTGTTTCTCTCTACAGTTGCCTTGGTGTTTGATCATTCCTTTTGCAGTTTCGTGCAATGTGTCTATGCTCTAGCGATTTAACGAGTTTTTAGTAGATTTATTAATTTGTTACATTTATACTTTAGCTTGTGACATACTGTATAGTGTATAGCCTTACGAAATCATTGGTTTTAATGAAATTATTGTTTTATGTTTATGTATGCTTATATAGCTTTGCTGTTCTTTTGTAGTAGGAGCGAAATGGCTATGGAGATTACTCAGTTTCTATTGGCAGCTCAATCAGCTGATGCGAGAGTTCGTACTGAAGCAGAGGCTAATCTCAGGCAATTTCAAGAGCAAAACCTTCCTGCTTTTCTTCTATCGTTGTCCGTTGAGCTTGCAAACAATGAGAAACCCACTGAATCCCGTACGTTGGCTGGTCTTGTGCTTAAGAATTCATTAGATGCCAAAGATGCTGGTACAAAAGAACTTCTTACTCGACAATGGATGGCTATTGATATTTCTATTATATCCCAAATCAAGGACTTGCTCTTAAGGACACTTGGGTCACCTGTCCTGGAGGCAAGACACACATCTGCCCAAGTTATTGCAAAAGTTGCTTCTATTGATATTCCCAGAAAACAATGGCCCGACCTTATTGGGTCTTTGCTCGACAATATGACTCAGCGAGATAACCCAGCTGGTTTGAAGCAGTCAACTTTGGAAGCACTTGGTTATGTATGTGAGGAGATATCTCATCAAGATCTTGAGCAAGGCGAGGTGAACAATGTTCTTACTGCTGTAGTCCAAGGAATGAACCTTGCTGAAAATAGCCCGGAAGTTCGTCTGGCTGCAACAAGGGCTTTATATAATGCCCTGGAGTTTGCACAAACCAACTTTGACACTCAGATGGAACGAGATTTCATTATGAAGATGGTCTGCGAGACGGCCTTGTCTAAGGAGGTACAAATTAGGCAGGCTGCTTTTGAGTGTCTTGCTTCAATTGCCTCCAGATATTATGAGGTGCTTGAGCCTTACATGCAGGCTCTCTTTGAGCTTACATCAAATGCTATAAAAGGGGATGAAGAGGCAGTTGCCCTTCAAGCAATTGAGTTTTGGAGCTCCATTTGTGATGAAGAAATAGAGCTTCAAGAATTTGAGATCTCTGACACTGGGGACTCGGGGCCTCATTCAAAATTTATAGAAAAGGCTCTGGCGTCTTTAGTTCCATTGTTGCTAGAAACTTTGCTGAAACAGGAAGAAGATCTAGACCAAGATGACAACATTTGGAATATTGCAATGGCAGGTGGGACATGCCTACAACTTATTTCCATGACTGTTGGAGATGCCATTCTGCCCCTTGTGATGCCATTTGTGGAGGCTAACATAGTGAAGCCAGATTGGCACTGTCGTGAGGCAGCTACATTTGCATTTGGCTCAGTACTTGAAGGCCCAAGCACTGAGAAGCTCTCTGTTTTGGTTCATTCAGGTTTGGATTTCCTGCTTAGGTTAATGAAAGATGAAAACAACCATGTCAAAGACACTACTGCCTGGACTCTCAGTCGTATATTTGAGTTTTTGCATAGTCCTGGTAGTACTGTGATTTCTTCTGCTACCCTTCCAAGGGTGGTGGAAATATTGGTGGAAGGCACTAAGGATGCTCCAAATGTTGCAGAGAAGGTCTGTTGGGCCATCTATCACCTTTCTCAGGGGTATGAGGAAACCTGCTCCTCTCTATTTACTCCATATGTCCCAGGCATCATTGAATGTCTTCTTTCCACTGCTAGTCGTGCAGATGGTGATGATTCTAGGTTAAGGTCTTCTGCTTATGAATCGTTGAATGCCGTTGTGAGGTGTTCTAATCTTAAAGAAACATCACAAATTATAGCACAGCTACTTGTTGTTATTATGAATAAGTTGGGCCAGACTTTAGAACTTTCGTCAGATGACAAGGAAAAGCAAGGAGACTTGCAAGCTTCTTTTTGTGGTGTTCTACAGGTTATTATTCAGAAGCTTACCAGTGATGATGGAACTAAGCGTTTTATATTGGAAGCCGCTGATCAGATAATGGTTCTGTTTCTTAGAGTGTTTGCTTGCCGTAGTTCCACAGTACATGAGGAAGCAATGCTTGCTATAGGTGCACTGGCTTATGCAACTGGAACTGAGTTTGAAAAGTACCTTCCAGAATTGTACAAGTATTTGGAGATGGGGTTGCAGAATTTTGAGGAGTTTCAAGTATGTGCTATCACAGTTGGGGTGGTTGGTGACATTTTTCGTGCATTGGATGAGAAGGCATTACCATACTGTGACGGGATTATGAGCCACCTGATGAAGGACTTGTCTAGCGAATCGCTTCACCGGTCTGTCAAGCCTCCCATATTCTCTGTCTTTGGCGACATAGGTCTCGCAATTGGAGTACATTTTGAGAAGTATGTCCCTTATGCAGTGCAGATGATGCAGGGAGCTTCAGAGCTTTGTGCTCGGATGGACACTAGTGATGAGGAGTTAATGGAATATGGAAACCAGTTAAAGTGTAGCATCTTTGAAGCTTATTCTGGTATACTTCAGGGCTTTAAGGATTCTAAGCCTGAGGTCATGTTGCCATATGCCCAACATCTCCTGCAGTTTATAGAATTGGTTTTAAGGGATGTAAACAGGTATCGTCTCTATCTCTCTCTCTCCCTGTCATATGTGTGTGTGTGTGTAACCTAAAATGTCTTTCCGGTTTGTAATCTGACTCGTTCCTTGTTTATAGGGATGCCAATGTCACAAAAGCTACAGTTGCTGCGCTGGGTGACCTTGTTGATGTACTTGGCCTAACCATCAAGCCACTGTTCGGAGATTTTGCATTCTTTGAGGGAATTTTGCAAGAGTGTCTTCAGTTCGACGATAAAAGTCTCAGGGAAACAACGGCTTGGGCTTATGCTATTATGAGGCGCATCATGGATCAATGAGAAGTGACTGGTCGGTATTCGTTGAGGTCTAAGGATAGGTGTCACGGAAGTTAAAAAGTTATTCAGATCATGTAACCCTTTTTTATTTTGCATTATGGACACAAGTCTGTAGTTTTCGTTTTTGGTTCTTAGAACATCGTCACTTTATTGAGGCTACAGGAAAGGTGTCCTTTCTTATGTTTCGGAACTCTGTTAAGTGCAATACATCCACCGATCAGTGGTTTGAGTTATGTTCTCAATCAGTTTTTCTCATGCTTTACTGGTACGGACTTTTTGTTTTCGAGAAAAAAAGAGAGTTACGATAATCTTTGATATAGATTAAGAATAAAAGACTTGCAGTATGAAACAAATGTTACAATGTTGACTTGATAAGAATGGGAGCAAGAAAGAAATTATAATGGAAAGTACATTGGCGCTACCATCTGCCGGTGTTCATGGAACTGCAAGAGATCCCGCCCAAGGACGATGAAGGATACGATGCCATCGTATCAACCGAAAAAACCTGCATAAATCTTGCGTTCAATTCACTGTTCTGACGCGAATCAAGGAGGTTCCAGTTTTCGACTTCAGGAGGCTGATCCTCCTCATTGAGATATCGAACCACTTGTCTCATGGTAGGCCTAGCTTCTGGTTTGTAGTGAGTGCAAAGCAA